GTGGCACAGGAGGAGCGGCACGATCGGGGCCTGACACTTTTGATGCAAACATGCTTGTTTACATTTAGCTTTAATGTGAAATAAAGTGTCTCACCTAAAATGAAGATACCAGTATGAAAGGTTTAGTTTCATTGTTACAGCCTCCATTACTAGGCTTGCCTGTTGTTGCTTGATTTTATATAAATTTAGCCTTAAATGGGGTTCACCACAGTATATTTCACCAAGTTACCAATAAAAAAGTTTGCCGACCAGCTACTGGACTGCTACTGAACACCGATAACATGTTCCGAATTGGTCTGGAGACCGAAAATATGAACTTTATTTTAGCGCATATTCAGAAAATCATCTTGCGCCCTAAAGATGTAAAAAAATTCAAGAATCAGCGCTAGGTGGCAGCAGAGGACGGCGTCCGGGGAGTACAATTAGATGTCAATTCTTTAAGGAAATTAAATTAAAATTAAATTAAATTTCATAAAGGATAAACATAAATCATCTACCCCACGGACTTGAAACAGTTAAATCTCGAGGGAGTGAATTAAGTTTAGACTGATTTCTCGCTCTTTCGAGAATGCTGGAACGTTTTTTTTTATGACCGTGTGTAAAGCAGTACAAACACACAGGTTCTGTCTTACCTGTCAGTTCTCTTTGTTTTACACTCCACAGGGGGGGTCACTTCAAAAGCTCCCTCCATTTTTGTGCCGATCTAGACCAGATGACTGATGCTGGGGTCTCTATGAACACAAAGGGTAAATAGTGACATACATTCATAATATCTACTAGCTACTTAATGCAACGGGTGCGGCCGCTATATAGCTGTGTTTTTATATGTATATGTAGGGCAGTAGTTCTGATGCACCGCTATTTTGGCCATTTTACATTTATATGTTCGCTCTGGGACACCGTATTCCATACGCGGGTTTAGAGCGGATGGCATTTTTTTTCCTTTAGTTTGCTCTCGCTACCCCGAAAGGTGAGCATTGTTAATGGCCGCTCTCTTTTCATATTAGAATGACAGAACTAAAATTGCCCACCCACCCAGTTGAATATATTCTGGTTAATGTGAGGTTCGGATGCAGACCGTTTGGTTTGGGGTATTTTGATGTTTTGGTACTGAATTATAATTTGTAACTTTGGGTTGTTAATTGTCGGAATGAAGGCTATGTGCGGCAAAGGGGTTATTATCATTTTAGTTAGTAAAATGTTACGATGTCATTAAATGTACTGTATTTGTTATTGTCTTACTTTTATTTTTGAAGTGGGAATTGTACATTTTGTTAATTTTGAGTTTGCTCTCGCTACCCCGAAAGGTG